AGCTTTGTTATTTGCGCTGGTGCACACATGTCGTCTTCCCTGCGTGCTGTGGGTGCTGTGGCCTCCGTCAGACCACTACATGCGCGTGTTCTAGTTATCGGCCGTAGCTGTTTCGCGGCAACGCGTCCACCGCTCTCTTTCACCCGATCTTACAGCCATGTCTCGAACTCGTGGAGCAGCGAGCATACATACATTCCTGGACTCCGTCATCTGTCTTCAGGACACGTACGGAACGAACAGTACCAGCGCAAAGACCAAGCTGGTGCTGACGATAGCGACGCAGCAAATGCCGTCTGCAGTCACTCTGACACGGAGGCCGCTTCACATAGTGCCGAAAGCTCATCAGTACTTCCTGGCCCTGCGAGCTCTGTGATCAATGGAGTGACCAGCCCGTTGTCTTCAGGTGAGCAAATTTCTCTGGAGTAAGCATACGGAACCCTCGCGGACGCAACCTGACTATCACTGTCTCATCCAGGCTTGTCCGTTGATTCCAACCCGCATCAGCTATCTACCACTGCACCGTCATCTCGTCCTCCATCTTCGATGGCCTTAGACAGCGACGCTAATTCTGCTATCACGGAGAGTAGCCCTGCTGGAAAGACCGCGGTCGATGCGGCCTCCGACGTCAACATGGCCAAAAATGAAGTCTCCGACGGGGCGCAGCATACGCCCTCGAAGCCGTGCCTTGCGTGCGGTAGTCCCGATCATCTGATACGCGACTGTCCCGACAGGACTCACATAAAACCAAACGTTCCTTGCCGCCGATGCGGTAGCTCGGACCATTGGTTGGTCGATTGTACTGCGTCCAACAAAGTGCGGAATGCCTATCGCAGCATATGTTTCATTTGTGGGAAAAAGGGACACCTGGCACACAATTGTCCCAACCGAGCGCAGCATAAGCCTTCGAGGCCGTGCGCTGCGTGCGGTAGTCTCGATCACTGGAAGTACGACTGTCCTGACAGAACTCACATCAAACCAAAAGGCCTATGCCGCCAGTGCGGTAGTCTGGATCATTGGGCTGTCGATTGCACTGCGTCCATGGAACAACGGAAGGCCTATCGCACAGGATGTCCCATTTGTGGGGAGAAGGGACATCTGGGACGCGATTGTCCTAATCGAGCTGACCACAAGCCTTCGAAACCGTGCCCTGTGTGCGATAGTCCCGATCACTGGAAATACGACTGTCCTGACAGGACTCGCATCAAACCAAAAGATCCCTGCCGCCATTGCGGTAGTCTGGATCATTGGACTATCGATTGCACGGCGTCAATAGAAGAACGGGATGCCTATCGCATGAGATGTGCCATTTGTAGGCAGAATGGACACATTGCGCGCAATTGTCCCAACCGCGCTGAACACAAGCCTCCGAAACCGTGCCCTGCGTGCGGTAATCCTGATCATTGGATGTATGACTGTCCCGAAATCGACAAAAAACCCGGATTCAAATTAAAGGAATGTGCATATTGTGGAGGCTCGCATGACACGAAGCGGTGTCGGAAGATGCTGGCCAAGCGCGTCCGGGGAGCCAGCGGGATCGTTGCCAACCACAAAAACTGAAGAGCGGAGCACATCGTCTCTCTGCATTCATTCGATGCTCTCTCGTTGCTTCGCGCGCAAATATACAAACACGCAGTACTCCTAGAATTCCTGCAAGGCGGCAGCGAATGGCACGATTGTATCAAGCGTCGCTATGACTTCTTTTGTGTCTGGCATCTTCTTCAACCTGGCTCTGATAGCTCGTTCCACTGGATGTGATAGTAATAACAATCTACTGGCGTATGGCGCGGACTATGCAGCATTTTCGCGCTGATGTCTCGCGACGGTCACATTACGTGAGACCCATTTCACTTGGATGTCCATCCTAAATTTCCCATTCCTTGAAACACTGAAACTGCAGAGGCTCATCCTTGCCCCCCTTCTCCATTTTCCTGCACTGCAACAGATTATCGTGAACCGTATCCGCCTTATGCTCTGCAGAGCGCATAGACCTATGTGAACGCGTCAGTAGAGGCATGGGCTGTCACTATCAGGGGTTTACCGTGGAGACGATCAGAGGCGTCGGGCCGGTATTGACGAACTGCGCAGGAGAATTCGCGGAGTTTGCGCTCACATTGTGCATCGTCCCTGCAGGAATGATGACATGGTCACCAGGGTTGATGTCTTCCTTCTGCAACTATCGTCACCTACGCTTCAACGCATACATCGTGCGCCATCTTACGTGTTTTCCATCGGTGATCGCTTGAGCATTCCCAGAGATGAAGTAGAGTGCTGATCAACATGACGACGCGCCTCCTATGATGCCAATCAAGCCGATTGAAGAGTGTCCACATTCATTCGACCCCTCTCTCTTTTTTAACGCAGACGTACAACCACGCAATACTCCCAAAGAAAAAGAAAACACAAGTTAGACGTCGCAACGAGTTGCTTTTTCTCTAACATCTTCTCGAACCGATCTGTAACAATCTTGATATTACGCATCCCGGTAGATATGCATGAGTCTGGGTATGCGTACCAAATAATCGACACTGATTTAAGACGCGTGCGAGGTGCCCAGTATCAAGAGTGCCGCGAGAAGTTTAATTGTGGCTGAAGCGGTGCCTAGTCACGATGAGGCAAAGCACGAAGTCTCACCCATAGGATTGTATCGAAGCCCCCCTCCCCCAAATTACCAGAAGCGGATGGCAAGGAGGCTCGATGTGGCATGGAGGAGCCTGCCGTAGATTCTGTCCGTGTTTCTTACATACTTAAGTATTATATACATGGCATAAAGCCTTTTTATTTCGGACCTGCGCGAGCCTGGTACAATCCGAGTCTCCTGGGTAAAGCTTTGTTATTTGCGCTGGTGCACACATGTCGTCTTCCCTGCGTGCTGTGGGTGCTGTGGCCTCCGTCAGACCACTACATGCGCGTGTTCTAGTTATCGGCCGTAGCTGTTTCGCGGCAACGCGTCCACCGCTCTCTTTCACCCGATCTTACAGCCATGTCTCGAACTCGTGGAGCAGCGAGCATACATACATTCCTGGACTCCGTCATCTGTCTTCAGGACACGTACGGAACGAACAGTACCAGCGCAAAGACCAAGCTGGTGCTGACGATAGCGACGCAGCAAATGCCGTCTGCAGTCACTCTGACACGGAGGCCGCTTCACATAGTGCCGAAAGTTCATCGGTACTTCCTGGCTCTGCGAGCTCTGTGATCAATGGAGTGACCAGCCCGTTGTCTTCAGGTGAGCAAATTTCTCTGGAGTAAGCATACGGAACCCTCGCGGACGCAACCTGACTATCACTGTCTCATCCAGGCTTGTCCATTGATTCCATCCCGGATCAGCTAACTACCACTGCACCGTCGTCTCGTCCTCCATCTTCCATGGCCTTAGACAGCGACGCTAGTTCTGCTATCACGGAGAATAGCCTGGCTGGAAAGACCGCGGTCGATGCGGCCTCCGACGTCAACGTGGCCAAAAATGAAGTCTCCGACGGAGCGCAGCATAAGCCTTCGAAGCCGTGCATCGCGTGCAGCAGTCCTGATCATCTGATACGCCACTGTCCTGACAGGACTCACATAAAACCAAACGTCCGTTGCCGCCGATGCGGTAGCTCGGACCATTGGTTTGTTGATTGTACTGCGTCCAGTAAAGTGCGGAATGCCTATCGCATGACGTGTCCCATTTGTGGGGAGAAGGGACATCCGCCACGCGATTGTCCAAATCGAGCGCAGCATAAACCTTCGAGGCCGTGCGCTGCGTGCGGTAGTCCCGATCACTGGTTGTATGACTGTCCTGACAGGACTCACATCAAACCAGAAATCCCCTGCGACCACTGCGGTAGTCCCGATCATTGGGCTGTCGATTGCACTGTGCCCATGGAGGAACGGAAGGCCTATCGCACGGCATGTCTCATTTGTGGACAGAGAGGGCACACTGCGCGCCATTGTACCGACCGTGCTGAACACAAGCCCTCGAAACCGTGCCCTGTGTACGGTAGTCCCGATCACTGGAAGTATGACTGTCCTGACAGAACTCACATCAAACCAAAAAGCCCCTGCCGCTATTGCGGTAGTCCGGATCATTGGGCTGCCGATTGCACGGCGTCCATGGAAGAACGGAAGGCCTATCGGGGATGTACCATTTGTGGGCAGAAAGGACACACTGGGAGCAATTGTCCCGATCGTGCTGCACACAAGCCTCCGAAGCCGTGCCCTGCGTGCGGTAGTCCTGACCATTGGCTGTATGACTGTCCCGACAAACCTCCCGGCTTCGAATTGAGGGAGTGTGCGCATTGTGGAGGTTTGCACGCTACGAGCCGGTGTCGGGAGACGCTGGCCAAGCGGCGCGTCCGGCGACCTAGCGGTATTGTTGCCAACCGCAAAAAATGAAGAGCGGAGCATGTCGTCTCTCTGCATTCATTCAATGCTCTCTCCTTGCTTCGCGCACAAATATACAATTACGCTGTACTCCCAGAATTCATGCAAGACGGCGGCGAATGGCACGGTTGTATGAGTATCAAGCGTAGCTATGACTTCTGGCATCTTCTTGAACCTATCTCTGATAGCTCGTTTCACTGAACGTTATAATAGCAACAGTCTTGATGTTTCAGCTTGGTTGGTGGAATACTAGAGTTAACAAAGCGTAAAACAAACGAACGAGCGCGAATATATTGGCGTGTGGCGGACTATATATGGAACATTTATGTGCTGGTGTCATCATAGAGTGTCTCCACATTCATTCGACCCTCCCTCTCCTTCCTTTCCACGCAGACGTACAACCACGCAATACTCCCCGAAGAAAAACAGCAAGACGACAGCGAACGGCAAGGCTATACATATAAGATGTTGCGACGAGTTCCTTTGCCTCTAGCGTCTTTTTGAGCCATCTGTAAGATGTTAGTACGCGTTTCGAATGATTTGAATCAGCTTTATTGGTGGAGTTTGGACGCGTATACGAAGCGTAAGATACGTACGCGGATGCGCACGAACATTTCAATGGGACGTGCATATCAAATAATCGACACTGCGATTGAAGCTTTGAAAAGGCGTGCAGGCGTCGCTCATCATGCACATGTATCAACTTCTCAAACGTCACATACTATATTTCAGGGAGTGGGGCAGACAAGGTAGTGCCGAGTTCGGAGATTGTGGCTGAACTTCGGTGCCTACTAGTACTAAGCGGCTAAGCAAAGCACGTAATCTCATCCATGGAATTGTATTGAGCCCCCCTCCCCCACACTCCCAGAAGTGGATGACAATTTCCGGTCGGCGGTATATAAATTGTAACAAAAAAAAAGAAAAAAGTACACGGTCCTGTTGCAGTCTGTCCTGGCGCCCAGAATGTGTCTGCGCTCGTGCGCACATGTCATCTTCCCTGCGTGCTGTGGCCGCCGTCAAACCGCTACATGGGCGCGTTCTATTTCTCGGCCGTAGCTGTTTCCCGGTAATGCGTACACCGCTCTCTTTCACCCGATCTTACAGCCATGTCTCGAACTCGTGGAGCTGCGAGCATACACACATTCCTGGACTCCGACATCTATCTTCAGGACGCGTACGGAACGAACAGTACCCACACAAAGGCCAAGCTGGTGCTGACGATAGCGACACAGCAAACGCCGTCTGCAGTCACTCTGACGCGGAGGCCGCTTCGCAGAGTGACGAAAGTTCATCGGTACTTCCTGGCTCTGCGCGCTCTGTGATCAATGGAGGGACCAGCCCGTTGTTTTCAGGTGAGCAAATCCCTCTGTGGAATAAGCATAAGGAACTCTCGCGGATGTAATCTGACTATCGCTGTCTCGTCCAGGCTTGTCCGTTGATTCCACCCCAGATCAGCTATCTAACATCGCACCGTCTTCTCATCCTCCATCTTCGGTGGCCTTAGACAGCGACGCTAGTTCTGCTTTCACGGAGAGTAGCCTGGCTGGGGAGACCATGGTCGATGCGGTCTCCGACATCAGCATGGCCAAAAATGAAGCTCCCGACGGAGCGCAGCATAAGCCTTCGAGGCCATGCCTTGCGTGCGGTAGTCCCTATCATCTGATACGTGACTGTCCCGACAGGACTCACATCAAACCAAACGTCCGTTGCCGCCGATGCGGCAGCTCGGACCATTGGACGGTCGATTGTCCTGCGTCCAACAGAGTGCGGAATGCCTATCGCACGAGATGTCCCATTTGTGGGGAGAAGGGCCATCCACCACGCGATTGTCCCAACCGAGCACAGCATAAACCTTCGAGGCCGTGCGCTGCGTGCGGTAGTCCCGATCACTGGTTGTATGACTGTCCTGACAGGACTCACATCAAACCAGAAATCCC